GCTGCATTTCTTGCTTGGACGCCCTTTGATGCTTTGCATCAATGCTTTTCTTGTTTATTAATTATATGGAACACACACAGGAGCACAATTACTTATGTAATCAGCAAATATGATGAAAGTCATAGAGGAGATACCGGTAAATTTCTTTAAACTCAAACACGCTTTCAAAGTATTCTTCGAGAGTATTCCATAATTTTAGTATTTGTATTTTTGTATTTAATGTACTCAAGATATGGCAAATTTCATTATTATGTAGAATGACATGTAAAAAAATCTGGAAACAAAGTGATCCTTCGGAAGCATTAATCACAACAAAATTACAAGAGAATTGCAGACTTGGTTTGATTGAGTCTGTACATGAGGGATGATGAATACGTGCAACACCCCTCACGCCCCCTAGCACCGGCTGAGCGGTACTCAATTCTCAACACTCAATAGTGCTGGCATCAATGATCCCGAAGGACCAGAAAAATATAACAACACTGAAGTGAAATACGGGGCAACTTTTTACAGCTGCCACACAGCACTTGACACCTGCTGTTGTGAAGTATAAAAATCTGGAAACAAAGTGATACCTCGGAAGCATTAATCACAACAAAATTACAAGACACACTTTTCACAAATGTGTAATGCAAAAATCTATACATTTCAATATACATGCAAATAATTGGGGGGGGGGGGCGGTTGCCGCATTACAGTGCATTACAATTTCATAATCGCATTACCCCATACTTAAAACAAGTGTAATGCTTATACATGTATAGTAATAATTTTAATAATAGAAAATACCAATTATTTCAACAACGACTGTTTTCATACTATTACTAGGTCCTACATTTTCAAATGAACATTATCAAAATTATTAAATTATCATAACGTGATATTTGGGTTATATAACATACTAATAATTTATAAACAGACTGGTCAAATAATGACATGCGCATCATGGGTGAGAACACAACAATATATAAAATTTACCATTAAAATATCAGATCAGCACATAATCACTTCTATCAATAACGTACCAAAGCAATTCATCAGCATGCAATATAATTCCATAAATCCTCTAGACAAGTACAATATATTCAACACTTCATAAGAATATCTCACAACATATAAATATCTTACATACTACCTGCAATTTAATTGTCATAATTCATGTAACAGAACTTGTAACGAATCAGAGCGTGTATCGTTTTCACTTGTCCGTTGCAATATTTAGCCTACAGACCGTATAAAGCATCTTAAAACACGTGAGGTGGCGACAGGATGAGCAAAACGTCAGTTGATGTCACACTATACTTGTATAAATAAATATTAATGTGACAAAACATGTATAATTTGGAATGGAGCAGATACTTCCGCTTTCCTCCGCATAGAAAAACATTCAGAGTTGTCTAAGAGTTGTCTAAAGTAGAGACGCTATCCATAACAAACCATTAAAAAGTCAGAAACGTGGTGATATAAAACTATATATTATTTCTTCCATAACTTGAACGTGAATCGGGCGACCCGGGTTCGATTCCCGGACGGCGAATGTCACTTTCGTTACGATTGATCATGAAATCTTCTGTACGGTTATTCGCACTGTAATATATTCTGGCATTTGCAAAAGTTTTAGTTCCTTTTAAAAGTGAAGGCAACTAGTACTGGTAAACTCTTTGACAGCCTGCCCAGTGACAATGCGGTGGATGAACTGTGCTCTGGTAAATTCAAGTTGGCATACAATCGTGATCCCGAGTAAAAACATCAAACTCCACCTCAATAACTAAATATCACGGGAACCGGATGTATTTTTTCCAAAAGTTTTTATTTGTATTAATAAAGAGCCAAACGATTCCTGAACGACACATATTCTATGTCTGTTTTAATATATAAATTGAATTAAAATGTGTCTCTGTTTCAAAAGTTGATTTATTTTCCAATTTTACAAAATTTAATCAATATCGCTTATGAGAATAATACTCTCTGATTAAAAAAAAAAAAAAAAAAAACAAAAAAAAAACAAAACAAAAAAAAACAACAACAACAAAAAACATTCAAATATTTCCAGTTAATACAAGTACCGCAATCGTAGGCTTCTAGTTGGTCGAGCATTGCAAAGGTGTTGTTCATCACCAACTATCACAACCAGGACTTTTTAGTCTTTTATTTTTGATATGCAAATGACATGGAGCCAGGTTTAACATAAACAACAAGCAAACAAACATAACAAAATTGGTGCGAATTGGATTGCATTAGATTAGGATTAAACATGCCTACAAATACAGTAAAGCTAACAATGAATTATTTTATGTAGACATTTACCTTCCTTACAATAAGAATATGTTTCTATATTATAACATTTGATTTAAAAGCGCGCTTCATTTTCTTCTGAAATAAAGAGACAGTGTATCAAGGGAAATAATTCATACAAAGCGTACATTGCGATTAGCTACATGACGGTTATAATTATCTCCATTTGATAAAAAAATCATTATTATTGGTAGATTATGACATGAAAACGTGACTAAGATGATCAGTACATTTTCTTCGTATTCTTATATATGCCAATTTTAAAAGATATATGTATCAAACACATTGACATTGTGACTGATGTCCCTTTCGTTTAATTTGCACTGTACACTACTTGTATATTTAGCGATAGAAACCCCACCATGCAGTGGCATCTTATATATTTATATTGAAACCAGCTTAAACTGGCGGACCTGAAAGTCATTAACCGTTCCCAAGAGTAAAGAGCCGGACCATTCTGACACAATTTCTGTATTTTGTTATTGAAATCCCTTAAAATTCGAATCGACTGACCATTGTCAGCAAATCAAAGCAGGGCAAATTCGTTACACAGGTTTAAAGCTAATAATGAAATAGTCAAAATGATTTCACTGTTTAGGTAAAGAGACTGGCATCTGTAGATATTCGTTTTATATGCAATTACAATGCCACTTTTTACATATTTAGCAATTAGGGATATACCTATCCGATGATTGTTTTGGTTGTTTCAGGTTTTACAATAAAATACTTTGGCGGCATTGTTAGCAAACGGTTAATAATCAATGACACTATGCAGTTTTAAGGAAACTTGGCATACATATTTTATAGACATGTTTAACGAAATCTTGTTGGATGGGGATTCCTCGCTGATTCCAGATTAACACTTCTCTTGCATTAAAGCGGCATGTCTTTAGATAGGGGAACACATGTTCAAAAGAAATATCAAGCTTGTGAATAATATTTACATGTTTAATATGCTATGAAACATACTTTGAGTTTAATTCATTTTTCACATATTACATATTTCCTGTCTTTCTACGCATAGATTATTCTAAAGTACATGTTAAACGCAATATATGATACCAAGAAAGAAAGGACATTTTTGTATAATTTTAACATTGTAACTATGTACTCTTTTTGATCTTAAACCCCAGTCACACTAGAGCTTACGATTACTTGCGACCACCGGCGACTAGTAAAACTGACGATCATCAGCGATTGTCTGCGACCAAAACCATTTTTGCACAAATAAATTTACTTTTGCTAGTATCGTAAGACAAGTCATCATTGACAATCGCACGACAGGTCATAAGTAAGCGTACGATGGTCTCAAGATTGCCTGGGATTACTTACGACTACCCGTGACATAACATGCGATCACCTACAACTTGTCGTACGACCATCACACGATTACTAAAGACTACTTAAGATTATCAGTTACTAGTGGCAATTTGTAAAGACTGTCGTAAGATTGTCGCACTTCCGAACGACCATAATACGACAGCCTTAAGACCTTATAAGATCACTAGCGACCTGTTTGGTCGTAAGGAGGTTTTTGTGCAAGCTCAAAAACCTCTCTACGACTGAAATTGGTCGTGGGACCTAAATAAGATAACCTGCGACTGTCAAAGATCACCGATGACCGTCGTAAGACGTTTTAAAGATTGTCCGCGACCAGAGGTCACTGGTGATCGTGAACTGGTCTTCACTGGTCGTAAGCTCTAATGTGACTGGGGCTTACTTAAATCGCTAAAATTTCCTCTAGCGTAAATATCAGCCAACCTGTCATTAAATTCTACCCTTCCATGATTCGCTAATATTTCCTGACGCGAAATGTCCGGAATTAAACCTCGCTAACTTTTGGACACGCGAAAATATCTATTTATACAGGCAGACATAGTTAAATCAGTTGTTAGTAGCTCTCTTTGTTATTTGATAATGAAATTCTTTAACATGTAATAGAATGAACCAAATCAAAATTGAGACAATCCATTACACAAACTCAAGTCCCTTTATCTGTTGTGTATAAGTCTAAAGATCCATTAAATTGCGTTAATATGTGTTAAAATGTGCCTACATGTCCCTTACTCCGTTAGGATGGTATGCATAAATTGCTTAGGGTGGACAAAGGCATTTCCTATCCACAAGAGTGCATGTCACTTCCTGCAAATATATGCGCATCTTATACATTAAGTTATTAAAGGTGAACAATTCTTAACCCAAAAGAGTACCTGTCAGAACACGTACATATGTATGCCTTTACTCTGTTACTATCGACTGAATGAAAAGTCAAAGGTATTACCTGTCCAAAAAGATTGCAAATATATACCTTTAATTCTTAGGTCGGAAAAACACATTTCTTGTCAAAAATAGTGCATGACACGATATGCAAAGATATGCCTTTACTCTGCTAGTGTTATATGAAAATATGGAATAAAAGTCAGACAAAGTCATTTAAATTCGCGATATTCGCAAATAATCAGCGTCGGTAATTAAACCACCAATTCAACACAGTAATAGTGTTGACTAGCCCCATGATACTTGTTACAGGTGTTAATCACTTTCGGTTTTAGCATATTAAAGGATTAAAATACAAGCAGATAAACTTCATGGCAATTACTTTATTCACCCATCACAAAAAACACATAGAAATAATGAAATAAAGAGTAAGTCATTGACTTTAAACATAATGTTATCTCATCGAAGCAACATCCATAACACTGTTATTTTACTTATGTGAATAATAACGAAAAGAATGTCTATTATAACATGTATAATGCTTTAAATAATATTTTGTGTCACATAATTATTTTGGTTGCGTTTATTCTCAGGATGTTTCCTGACTTTTTACATCAAATATAGATCTATTATTATTAATTTTTTTTAAAAAGCAATGTGAGGCTTGACTTATTCAAATTTTTTTTTGTTCTAGGAATGTTTTTGTTCAATTGTTCCATTCGGCTCCAACTGTACAACAATCACAGGTTTAAAAGTGTTCAATGTATAAATAAATATTGTTTATTTCAAACACACTTTAACGAAAAATGGCTGATGATAAATCTGCATTGACAAAAGTCATATTTAGTCAATACAGAGCTTCACACTTTCGTCATGAACATTAGGGAGAATACGAGCATACAGCGCATTTAATCATTTTCTTCCTTTTGTACGGTAGGCATTTCAAAGATCCACACGCAGCTTGAACAAAATAGAAAAGCTTTCCCTGCGCGTCCCCTGAGCTTGAGTACTCGTCTTCTGTAGGGTGTTTGTCGACACAAACAAACTCTGATGCAGCAGCGTGAGTATGAAGACCAGCCATCAAATAACCCGCATACTCTAGTCTAAAGTTCCTGGGGCAGTTGTCTTGTCCAGGAATCATTATGGCACTTGTACGAGGAACTTGGCAAACAGCGCATGGTACTTCATGATTATATAGGCTACTGAATGGAGTGTCTGATGTTTGGTATTCGGCGCCATATAAGAAAGTAGTATAGTACCGGGTAAAGGTAAAAATGAATGACTTGAATGGCACTTGTGAAAAAACATCAAATGTTGGCTTTTTGGACAAACAAAGATAATTTGCAGCTGCCCCGCTATGTTTGTAATTTGATCCTCCCGCGAATCCGACATAGATAGTCGTTGCTCCAGTAGGACATGAAGTTCTCCCCCATCTTGTATAAGTGTCAGTTGCTTTGTCTCTAAGAATTTGAATCTGCTCTCTCAACTCTAGTAATGAAATTAATATAAGTTAATCTAAAACTTTTTCAGAAAGAAACTATCAATTATAGTTCTTAAGCTTTTTTCTTAAGGAAATTGGAATGTTAACACAATACGTAATATTTCTCATGCTGACAAACAGGACACTAACACCTTTATTCTCCTACAACACAATACAACTGATATAACTATCTCCCGATTATTCTCATGCATGAATTGTTTTAAAGTCAATGTTCTACATTGTTCTGCCATTTGAATATAATTCGATTAAGACATATGTTTTTCTATGTTTTCATTCGTCAGTGATTAAAATTAACAAAAATGACTAGAAATAAATAAAAATGTTATGATATACTGACCTTTAAGTTCGTCTCTTAAAGAAGGATAAGCGGATACATCTATCGCTGTGAGAATCGTTAAACAAGCCCACGTTAAGAGCATATTGGTGTTTTTCCCGCTTTTAAGTTTTTTCTATCTTTAACAAGAGTTTGAATGACTAAAAGTAAGTTCGTATCAACTCTTTATGGTTATTGCTCGAAACTAAAGATTACGTTTCGGCAATTATTTTAAAAAAAATTATGTAGATCATATTTATTATGCATTTTGAAATAAATCAATCGTTTATTACATGTACAAGTATCTAATTCCGATATAAATGTCGGTACAATATATGGGATATGCGATGTGGTGCGAGTATTTTATATAAACACATAAGGAGGTAAACTAGCAAATTAATGAAATTATCGAAGATATACTAATCTTTTATCTACAACAAACGGTTTCTTTCAATTTCTAAAATATTGAACATATTGCCCTAAATTATCATTCCAAAATTTCGTGCATGCTGTGTTGTTTTTGTTTATGTACAATATTAATTCAAACTAGCAATTTAAGAAAGATGTTTTAAACATTTGATTAAGAAATAACGTGTGATTTTTTCCATTTATTAAAGGTAAACTTATACGTTTATTGTTTAAAGAATTTGTAATATACTTAACAAATCAGCTTTTACCATGAAATTTTGAAATAGCTTTGATTGGCATGAATATGATAGGAAGCTTGTCTTAGACATGTGTGTATATTTTTAATATAAAACAGACCATTTTCAGTTCTTAAATTATTATAATTATGTGATATACATAGAAAAATTACAAATATTTTAACTGTTATATATATTATAAGTAAGAGGAAAGATAATATTTAATGAGAACCGTTGCTTGACCATGAAATAGTAGCTTTAAAATAGTTTAAAATTGTTTACATGTTGAGATACAAAGACGTTTCAAAACTGCTTTAACTTCCTTCTTCTTCGTTCCATTGAGATTAAAACCTTGATAAAACATCTTGCAAATCTTGTATAGAATCTGACTTGCTTTGTTTATATTGTTTAAACAAGGAACATACGTAAATAAAATGTTGTCAAAACCATCCAATACAAATAGGAATAGCGGTGTTTGGTTTTAGTTGCACCAACATTTTAAAGGTCATATGGCGACCTTCCGACGTATACTGCATATGTCCTTTCGTGCTTTTTCATGTACAGCCGAATCTTATGTATTCTACCTAGCTTTCTTACATGAATGAAACCATAGTCCTTTTCTTGGATTCAAAACTACAGCGATGAGGGGCAAATGTTAATTAGTAAGCAGTCTCAATCGCTTGGCCACATAGGCCTGAAAAAGTACATTACTATGAAGGAAAACGGGAAAATGTAAGCTTTGCCCACATTTCACTTGATTTCGGTGTCTTAGTTATATTTATATATAAGAACAAATTAATATCTTAACTTGTCCCAGATTATTTTCTTCATAAAACAAAAGAAATAAAAGCACCTTATGGCAAGCTTTTGGAAGGTTCATGTGTTTCAAATACTAGATTTGATTAAACAAATTTTCTTTTTAACTTCGAATTCTTTTGTCAGCAGTGGTGTCAAATTGCATGGACCCACGGGTGAAATTTTATTCTGGTAATCTCTATTTATATATGTCGTAATGTAGAACTGTGAACTGGATTTGTACAGAAAAACGCCAAAATGTGACATAGTCAAATCGAGAACACTGTAAGAAAACGGGCCGAAACATTTATGGTTAATTTTAAACTGAAGGAACTGAATCTGAGAAACCGGCTCAAAAGAAATGAAAATTTATACATCTTCACAAATATTTCTAGGGAAATGTTTAATCTTTGAGACAATTCATGAGAATGACGACCTGACTATCGTTTTGAAGGGTTCATTTATATTTCATTGATATCCATTTGTAACGTTATGACTCTTATCAAACCTTCCTTACTGTTTTTGAGTTTAGGTACGCTTGAAAATATCTGAAAATCTAAAATTTCTAAATATGCTAGATAACTATTGCTTAATTTTCATGTTTTGTATGACAAAAGATGGAAATTAAATTACGCGTTGAAGTTATCTTCGCGCCCATAAATGGTTTAAGTTTTAACTGGCTCGAACGGGACACCGTAGTTTATTGTTTGTTTTTTTTGAATCTCTGCATGTTTGTTGTCACGTAATCGAAACCATGTCACGAGACAGGTATCTGCCTGATTGTTATCAAAATTGTCGAAACAAAAGAATTATATGAAAGATATTTGCAAATGTCCTAAGATGTAATGAATTATGAACCCATTATTCAAAAATAGTCCACTCTAATATCGTTACCTACAAGGTAAGGATATGATATCAAAATTGTAACTTCAGTTATTACAAAATATCTCTTGTAAATATCTGTATTTTTCATACTAAATTATGAATCTTTCTTCAGTTCCATTTATTGAAAAAATAGCACACTCATTTTGAGGCATACATTCTTAAAGCCAGTAGATTAAGTCAAAGTTTTATTGAGTTGGAAGCTATAAGCATACATGGATGTAGCTTAAAAGAAGGCAATGTGTAAGCACTATGCATCCTGGAAGTTATTGAGAATTAACATTGCCGTAGCTACATTCTGAAGTATTTTGAGGTATGTTCAGATGAAAGAAAAGACATAATGTTGCAACGTATTTGCTACATTGAAAACCCTTGTCCATCATTAAATTATGTCCATACTTATAACCAGCATTATACCGCATTATAAACTATTATAAGTGACATTTAGGCAAAAATACATTTTTCGACATAACGTTTATGTTATAATATGTGACTATTATAGAACTATAAAAACAGGTATATGCAAATTTATGGAAACGTGAAATTTTAATCGCATACCGACATAAGCTCTACATAAAGAAAAATAAATTAATCAAAATACTTAATTAAATAACAAAGTCAAATATCACATTGTGATAAAATATATATTGACACACAGACAGCTTCGAATGTCCATACTCAATAAAATATTATAAAATTTGTTATGAATTTCAAATACATTTTATTATATATTCATATGATTGAAAATTCATACTGCTAGAACTATTAGAAGAAGAAAAAGAACATTTTATTGACTTAAACTACATAGTTTCTCGTCATATACATATGCACAAACATAAATCATTATATAAATTATCAAGTTCATAACTGCTAGATCATCAACAAAATAGAGAAAAACAGAATCCCTAAAGAAAGCCCAACACGGCAAAATTTAAAATGTTGCAGGCTCGGTTTGATTGAGCCTGTTCATGGACGGTACTGGCAAGTCAAAATTTAACATTCGAGTGTGAGTGGTCTCTTAAACCCTTTACATAAGATCCCTTAAGTTTGGTTAATTACATGAGCTGCCCTCGTGAAAATTTGTTGAGTTGGTCTTAAAACAAACAAAAAGTTCTTTTGACAATTCAGCTAAGTTTATACAGCATTAATTATTTATTAACTTAAAGATAATTGTGAACATTGAACATATGTAGGTTTACAATTACTTTTTTAAATCCGCAAATATGATAAAAGTCATAGTCAAAATAAATTCCTTTCAATCAAAACACGCTTTAAAAGTATTCTTCGAGAATCTGCCATAATTCATAGTATTTGTATTTAATGCACTAAAGACTTGGAAATTTGTCATTGTTATGCAGAGTTACATGCACTATACACTTTTTCACCAATGTAATGCATTATATTACAATTACATTAAATGCAAAATCTTTGCATTTCATTTAATGTGCCAATTACTCGAGAGAATGAAATGCATTGCAATGGATTAGAATTTCATTTTTGCATAACTCTATGCTTAACGCAAGTATACTGCTAATACATAGTATAATAGTTAATTATTTTAATGATACAAAAGAAAATGTTAATTATTTCTACAACGACTGTTTTCGTACATAACATTAGATCATACACTGTCAAATGAAAATTATCAAAGTTATTCAATTTATATTAACTCTTCCGTAATAATTCAGTATTCTAACTTAAGATTAGGTTGATACAACTTGCTAATTAGTAATAAACAGAACGGTCAAAAAATCGCATGCGCAGCATGTCATTGAGTGATATAAAAACTTACATTTAACCATTTTGAAATCAATTCAGCACATAATCACTTCTATCAATAATGTACAAATCTTTGACAGCAATTCATCAGCATGCAATATAATTCCATAAATCCTCTAGACAAGTACAATATATTCAATACTTTGAATATCTCAAAACATATAGATATCTCATATAGTACCTGCAATTTGATTGTCATTATTTATGTAAAAGAACTTGTAAAGAATCTGAGTATCTATTATCAGAGCGTGTATTGTTTTCACTTGTCAGATGTAATATTTAGCTTACAGACCGTTTAATGCATCGTAATACATTCGAAGTGGCGGCAGGATGAGCTGATGTTACACTGTACATGTATTAATAAATATTAACGTGACAAGACTTGTATAAATTGAAAAGGAGCAGATACTTGCGCTATCTACCGCATAGAATAACATTCGTAGTTGTCAAAAGTAGAGACGTTTTCCATAACACACCATTTAAAAGTCAGAAACGTGGCGATATAAACTATTTATTGTTTCTTTCAAAACTTGAACGTGAATCGGGCGACCCGGGTTCGATACCCGGACGGCGAAGGTCACTTTCTTTGTGATTGATTATGAAATCTATTGTACGGTTATTCGCACTGTACCAAGGCTCTGGTATTTGCAGATGTTTTAGTTCCTTGCAAAAATGAAGGCAACTGGTACTGGTAAACTGTTTGACAGCCTACTTAGTGACGATGTTGTCGATGAACTGTGCTCTTGTAAATTCCGTTTGGCTTATGGTCGTGATCTCGAGTAAAAATTACGAACTCCACCTCCATAACTTGAACTAAATATCATGGGAACCGGTTGTGTTTTTCCCCAAAAGTTTTAATTTGTATAAATAAAGAGCCAAACGATCCCAGAACGACACAAGTTTGTTCAAATATATAAATTGAATTTAAATGTGTCCCTGTTTCAAAAGATGATTTATTTACCAATTTTACGAATGTAATCGATAGCTCTTATAAGAATAATATTTGTCGCATAAGCTCGACATTGTCTTATATTCTCTGTTAAAATAAAAACAACATAAAACAAAACAAAACAAAAAACAACAACACCCCCCAAAAAAAACAACACCCAAACATTTCCAGTATATACAAGTACTGCAATCTTAAGCTCCTAGATGGTCGAGCATTACAAAAGAGTTGTTCATCACCAACTATCACAACCAGGCCTTTTGATACATTGAGTCAGTGCTTAACATAAACAGCAAGCAAACAGACAAAACATAATTGGTGCGATTTGGATTGCAATAGATTAGGATTAAACATGCCTACGCATACTACGCATACAAGCTTAAGATAAATTATCTTATGCAGACACATACCTTCCCTACACTAAATATATCTTTCTATATTACATGTAAAACCGCTTTTCATATATAATAAAAATCCAGTGTATAAGGGAAACAACTCATACAAAACGACTGTTAATAGGATTGTAAACTTATCTCAATTTGATATTAAATCAAATAGTGAAAATATCTTTGAGTTGTCACGACTATTACAGAAAAATGCATCTCGGAGCTGTACATTTCTTACACTATATAATATGCCTAATTTAGAGGGGATATATTAAACATATTGAAATGAATTATGATTTTTAAAACTTCACCTGATGTACTTATTTATCTAATATTTGCACTTGATAATTCTTTTATATATGAAACCATATTGTCAATAAAATTACACCACACCATTTACGTGCTGAAACTTTAAGCTTGTATTCTTTCCAACGGGTCCAGCCAGTATAGAGCCAGATCAGACTCTTTTTGTAATGGAACGGTCCTTTTTCCCGGCCTTGAACATTTAATTCACACCATTCTAATGGAATAAGGGCAATGTGCTTATTTAGAAATATTGTACTTTTTGACATCGACTGACTTCTGAATGTAATTGTTTGTTGTAACCCAGTCAAGGTTGTTCAATTAGGGTCAAAATCCATAAAAAAATAAAATTTGACATTTTTAAATAAATCAAGTGAAACACTTAACGTGGATAAATCTGCAAATATAAAAAAGAAATACAATTAAAATTAATTTAAATGTTGATATTGACTGAACCCGATTTGCAATTCATTTTTAGGTCATTTTGCAAATTAAAATTGATTAATCTGGGAAAACAGGGTGAGCGAATGAAAAGAAATTTTGCATTAGATATACATCAAATGTTACCAAATATTACACAAATTTCGGAAAAAGAATTTCCTAAACTTTGATTTTGGAATATTCCATTCAATATCAAAATAGAAAGCTACGAAAGGTATAAATGTGGCGGCATGGCCGAAGGGTTATTGCGTCGGACTAGTAATCTAATGATCGCTTGCAGCATGGGTTCAAACACCATCAGGGGTCAGTCGTTGTTTCTTTGATTGGTTGAGGCACCGCTCCGCTTGACTCTGCACTCCTTGCTCAGTCCTGATTGGTGCAAGGAACGGATTCGAAAGTGTGTCTATAAACTTGTAGCTTTCTACACAATCGAACTTAAATTAAATCTGTGTAACCCAACGGTATAAAGTCTGTGTTGGATCTATTCTGGCGGCAAAGGTTTCAATTCCACAAGTTGAAAGGTTAAAATAAACAAAAGCTATATTTTATAGAAATTACCGAATTCATTTACCAAAGAAAGCTTGTAGATGTAAGGACTCTTGTGAAATGTGCAAAGATCATTTATAAGGATGTTGATTAGAAAAATACAAAATGAAAAAAATATTATTGTTTCTTTTACCTATAATAGTAAACCAAAACATTAGAAAAACGTTCACTCTATAAAGTAATATACACACTGTTACCAAAACCTGTCTACGAAAAAGACTAAATAACGACAAAAAACAGGTATTTATCATTTCATATTTTGGATGGGTGAGTTTATTCACATTTCACGTATTACGTATTTCCTTTCTTTATACGCATAGATTATATATTTGTTTCTATAGATAAACATATTTTTGCCTGTAAACGCAATAATATCATTCTCGTTTTAAAAACGTTTTTGTGTTTTATTTGTTATGTTATTACAATATCTATTTCAAAGAAACAGCTGGAAATAAAGAACATTGATAAAGTTTATTCAGAACATACACTTTACACTCCATTACGAGCTTTAAGGGGAAAACGAACATACTGCACATGTAATTGATTTCCCCCTCCTATAAGGAAGACATTTTAGTGCACCACACCCAGCTCGAACAAAATAAAATAGCTTTCCATCCGCATTCCCACCATTAGAGTAGTCGTCTTCTGTAGGGTCTTTGTCGACACAGACATATTCTGATGCAGCTGCGTGGCTTTTGTGACCAGCCATCAAATAACCTGCATACTCTAGTTTGAAGTTATCGGGGCAGTCGTTTCGTCCAGGAACCATTATGACACTTGTACGAGGAACTTGACAAACAACACATGGTACGTCATGATTAACAAACTGATGCCAAATACTGTCATGTGTTTCATATTCAGCACCGTAGATATAAGTATAGTATCTTGGTTGTACAGAATGGTAGTCAAATGTCGGCTTTTTTGACAAGCAAACATAATTAGCGGCACCTCCGCTGTGGGTGTAATGCGCTCCAGCCGCGAATCCGACATAGATAGTCGTTGCTCCGGTAGGACATGTAGTTCTTCCCCATCTAGTGTACGTGTCAGTTGCTTTGTCTCGGAGAATCTGCTCTCTCAACTCTGCAAATAAATTGAAATAATTGGTCACATGGATAGACAAATATAAATTTGTTTCAATAATACTTTTGTGAAGTATATAATTGTTTATAGGCAAACATAAGTCATATCGAAAACTCTAATATTTGTTAGATTAAACTACTGGTATTCTAATTTATAATCAGGAGACACAGCTGATGAACGATCTTCTGAGTATATTTATACATGCACTTATTGTTCATTTTTATATTTAGTATATCTTTGAATTTGTTATCAATTATATGGCGAGACGATCAAACCACGTTTGCAAAATACACCGGAAAACAAGTAATAGAAAGAGCGTCGGAACACGAGACTATTTGATTTGTATAAATCAGATTGCCGAATGAGTTAATGTACTTTCCCTTTTGGTCCATAATAAAAGATAAAAACACGTTCCATATTGTCAAAATATGAAACCCCAGAAAAAGGTAACCGACAAACGAACATCTGAATATGATATTTCTATCGCTATCCCTTTCTCTATCGCCACAGTAAGTAAACCCCTGACATGACGAGCCAATCAATGGGCATGCTATAAGTGTGGGTAACTAATACCTGCACTCCAGTTAATGGACTCTTAGTGTGCTGTTTGTCGGAGACGTGCTCGATGTTTAGCTTTTTTGGAGGGGGGGGGGGGGGTTACTAACAGTTACGAAAGGGTAACGATAGAAAAGTCATATTCAGATGCTCGTACATTGGTTACTATTTATGGGGTTTTATATCGGATAACAGAAATTGTGCATTTATTTTTGCCTATGATAAAAAAAGAGAAAGAACATCAAACACGCAGTAATCTGAATTATACCCGGGGGGGGGGGGGGGGGGACGTCTTACCGTAAAGCAGCATGCCTCCAGATTTATGATTTATGATTTTTTTTCACTTGAATAACCAAAAAAAGAGGTCAAGGTACGCAAAATAGGTCTTTAATATTGCGTTTATCACGCAATACAAATATAGTGATAAATGCTGCAAAATCAGTCATTATTCGTACAAAGCATGTAAATTATCACCTAATCTGAAGTATTTCTGCTGTTAAAATATATATACACTTTTCTAAAGTTTGACTTACTTGAACCAGTTAGGCTGGTCTAGAGGCATGCATCTTTAAGGTGTGCTATAAGTGTATCAAAAATGTAAATCTTGTATTAAGTAAATATAATTTATTTCAATATTATGTCGAGGGTGACATGTTGAGAAAAGTAAGTAAAGAAATTATAATTACATACTAACCTTTAAGTTCGTTTCTTAAAGATGATATCTCGTTTGATGAAACAAAAGCCAATATGTTCGTTGCAGTAAGAATAATTAAATATGTTAACAACATGTTTGATGTTTTCACGATCTTATGTTTAAGTTTATCTACCTGTAATAAGCGTTTGAATGATTGGAAGTCAGTCCGTTTCAACGTTTATGGTCACAGCTCGGAACTAAAGATTTCGTTTCGGCAAACATTTTTAAATAAAGGGGAATTATGAAATACAGTATTGAAACTAATTATTTTGCTTATTACATTATTCTAATTGCGATCTATATGCCTGTAAATGATTGTGTCTTGTTGCGGTATATGATGTGATGTTTTCATATAAATACACGAGATGGTGAACTAGCAAAGTACCAAAATATTTGAACTCTTTATCTTACAAAGATGTTTAACCCTTCAGTTTCATCAAACGAACGTTTTCCTTAACTCTTTTTTATTTTAAACATATAACGTCATTATTATCCAAAAAAAAACTTGTAAATGCTGTGGTGTTTTTGTATATGTACAATATGATAAACGAGCTAATTTCGAAAGATGTTTCAAACCTAGCTTCCAATTTATTCAAGGTTAAACGTGTACGCTTATCTTAAAAAATAATGTAGTTAATAAATAAGCTTTCAGATATAGAAATGTACTGGAATATAAGATAGACCATCATGATTTCAATGCGTAGTTCTGTTTTCCAGTTCATAAATTATTAAAATTATGTGATATACGTAGAAAAATACAAATATTTTGACTGTTTTTTACTTGCATAATATAAATAAATGTTATATCTGCGAGCAAAGTCAATATCTAATAAGAACCTTTTCTTGACCATGAAAAAGTAGCTTTAAAATAGTTCTAAATCGTTTTACATGTTCAGATACAAAAGCGTTTTAAAACTGCTTTAACTTCCTTCTTCTCCGTTCCAATCAGATTAAAACTGTGATAAAAAGAGCTTGCGTATCTTGCATAGAACCTGAATCGCTTTGTTTATATTGTTTAAACAAGAAAAGTACGTACATGTTGTCGGAAACATCTAATACAAATGGTAAAAGCGGTGTTGGGTTTTATTGCACCAACATTGAAAAGGCCATATGGCGACCTAACAACATAGACCCCATATGCCCCTTCGTACTATTTCATATACAGGCGAATCTGAGTTGAACCACTGAAATTATGTACTTACATGAATGAAACCATAGTCCTTTATAATATTCGAACATACAGCGATGATAGGCAAGTGCTATAATGTTAGCAGTCTCAACTGCTTTGCCACATATGTCTGAAAATGAAAATTACTATGAAGAAAAACATGAAAATGAAAGCTATGCCCGCCTTTCACTTGAATTTCGGTGACTTTGTAATATTCATATATAATAACAAAAATTAATATTTTAAATTGTCCAATATTATTTTCTTCCTATAACAAAAGAAATAAAGGCATCTTACGGATAGCGTTTTGAACGTTCATTATTTCTAATACTAGTTTTTATTAAAGGCTGAAATTGTGAAGAAGAACGCCGAAATGTGACATGGTCAAATCGAGAACAGGGTAACAAAACGGGCCGATTCGATCATGGTTAATTTCAAACTGAAGGACCTGAACCTGAGAAACCGGCTTCAAAGTAATATTTTATACCTCTTTACAAATATTTCTAGACAATTCATAACGATGACCTGACTATCGTTTTGAAGGGTTCATTTATATTTTATTGATATCAATTCGTACAATTACAACGCATATTAAATCTTCCTTACTGTTTTTGAGTTTAGGTACGCTTGAAAATATCTGAAAATCTGAAATGTCTAAAAACGCTAGATAACTATCCCTTAATTTTCATTTTTTGTATGCCAAAGGATACCAAATAAATTGACGTTATTGTATCTTTGCGCCCGTAAATGATTTAAGTTTTAACTGGCTCGAACGGGACACCGTAGATTATTTTTTTGTTTTTCAAGCTCGGCATGATTTTTGTCACGTAATCGAAACCATGTCGCGAGATAGGTAGCTGCCTGATTGTTATCAAATTTGTAGAAACAAAAGAGTTACATCAACGATATTTTCAAATGACCTAAATACTTGAAGTAAGTTCTTGTGTACCTGACTTAATTATATATAGCTTGATTGAATATTATTTTAGAGTCTTGTATTATTCATTTTTAAATTACTGAATGTCAATTACTTCAAAAACTTCATTTACTTTTGTAAATACATGTTGTATAGTTATTTGTATATTGATGCGACTATAATAAGTAAATCATAGATAAATTTAATATATTAAACAATTCAATGCTTAATTTTATGAAAATTTTGAAAATATTATCTATGTCATTTAGACAGAAAAAGAAATGTTTTTTTTTAATTTAAACATCATGCAAAATTACAAAAGGGGAGTAGAGGTCATAAAGTCCTCAATTTTTGAATTGTGTGTTTTTGTTTTAAAAAAATGCTTTACAACATGATGCATAATTGGTAAATGCAACCAGACTTATTAAATTTCAAGAATAAGTATTTTTGAGCGTACAAATTTACAAAAACACGTAAAAGAGAAATCATTTGATCCGTATTCATTGATCGTAAGTCTGTTAATTAGATAACAACACACATTTGTAAGAACAATTTTTGTCCTTTGGGAAACGTGCTAGACAAAATAAAATTGCAGTTATAATTATTTTTTGGGTAAATCATGAAAGAAGACATCGGGTCGGTGATGTTTTCCTAAAAACATTGAATATACAAAAGATCCTTCAAATATCCTTTAACATTTTAACCTCTACGCAGTCAGTAGTGAAATATTTTTATAAATTATTTTGGAATTAACATGCAACATTTTTTATGCAAATTAATAAAATATCAATACTAATGAACAATCTGTTTCAATGATATTTTAATATATTGGGGAACTACATGAACATAAATTGAGAACCTGATTAATATCGACCTTCATTTGGTATGCGTTTTTGAAAAAAAACTTACAAAGTGCGTGAGTAAAGTTACAGGATCGGTTATTGGTAGTCTCGTTATTTACACCTTAGCAAAATATAAATAACTATAGTTTACGTTCTTTTTTTCCTTTTAAATTAAACTGGATGTTCCTATGTATACATATATATATACCCAAAAAAATATATAAAGATATAATGGTTATCTGATGCCCGAAGTATTGTTTAACCGAAACTTTAACTTGTTTAACGATTTATTTCTCTTTGTTTTTTTAAAACTCCAAAACGCAGCGGTAAAATGTTTTGGTGCGGAAGGAAGTCATATCTTAAACAGACTTAAATTATCTTAAGAAGTTCAAATAAAAAGGAAAAGCAGAAGAATATAGTCATTTTATTTCTGACCATATTTTATATTTATTCATACTGGCAAGAACTTTCCTTTTACATTTCATTTAACAGAAGTTAAGAACTATTCCTCGGGTTTTAATTTTGACTGCAAACACAATCATCACTTCACTTCGGTATTTAAGAACTGGGTAATGAGATTCAAGATTTTAGTTAATATAATATATAATAAGAGGTATTTTCCTCACTTTATTCTGCTTTCTGTAATATATATATATTTTATAGATAGTACCGGCATATAGCCGTCTAGGTTAATCTAGCTGACCATGTAATTAGTTTCTTTATTTTAAAAAGGAACGAAAATGCTGCTAATGTTTGTCGTAATAAGAAAGGAAGAAAAAAAGCAACAAACAAAAAACACACAACAAAACATATAAAAAATACAAAAACAAAAACCAAAAAAAACAAAAAACGTTCAAAACATGTTTAGGTTAGCCGGTGGTTGTCTTTTTACATTTTCAATTACATAGACTCAACTACTGTTATTAAGTCAAAGAAATAATAAAGGTCTGCTCTGAATTATTCATAGAGTTTCAGGTATTTTGAATTTTCTAAAGTATTATAATAAATCATTTGCACCGTTTATGTGTGCTTTAACCGTTCTTTTTAGCCATTTTAACTATTAGCGACATCAAGTTTATTTGATTAGCTCTAATTTCTTAAATGTTTAATTGGTGGAGACTTTTAAATCAAAGATAGGAAATAGGGGCACAACGTCACAATGAAGTGTTTAAACTAAAATTCCACCTTCTTGTAGTGGGGTGTGTTAAGTTGGGATGTGTAAACATGCATACAGACACAGAAAAGGTCTATGGCGATTTTCCAGCTTAAAGTTTATTGATGGAGGAATATCGATTCCGACCGTATAGTAATAATGTCTTTACAATTACATCACAAGATTAATATATATATATATACTAACAGAAAACCACATAAAGTTAAGGTTGTTTTTTTATAAAATTATTTAATTGGAATGCCCGCAAATGCATTTTACTATTCTGTACTCTACTCTTATATTTATCACTTAATAGTTCAATAAATTCCCTGTTATTTTTTTTCCTTTGAAAATAAGGAAACGATTGTTGCAATTTCCCATTAATTGTTCTTAAGGAAGCGGCACCATAAAGATAAACTTTTTTCTGATCAATGGTGGGAATACCGTCTTAGCTGTTTAGCTGATGTACATTGATGACATCAAACAATTATTGATAATGTTCAATTAAAGCTAAGCTAAAATGTGCAATTTGATATTATGCATTAATTTTATGTATTCTGACGTATACGATCGTATTACAGTGTTAAAGGTAAAAATTGATTTCTTGCTGCAGCCAATAAGTAATTCAACCTCAAACTAAGTAACCTAATGATGTAGACGTTTCGTGATCCACATATGATACATTGACGATAGAAAGGTCAACCAGAAATGAAAATACGTAAACTAACGCTAAAAATGTAAACCGGAGACTGACATGCGAAACAGTCGGTTGCAATGCAAACTGGAATTTGATTGATTCATTTAATTATGCAAACTGAAAGTAACAGTCACTTGCAAGGCAATCATGAATTTGATTCATATATGCAAAGGCAATGTTTGTCTGAAAGTCAAAGTACTGAATTAAGAACAACTTGAATTTAAGTAAACCAACAACATTTGAATAGCTTCATATAGATTGTATTTCCTTGGGACGTAGGAAAATTACGCAATGTACATCCTATAAAAATACTTTAAGATGACAAATATAACTAATCAGACAAAATGAAGTATTACGATTATGTTATATGCTACAGATATCTTTTTATGGAGAAAGTATTAAATAAGCGTCATTCTGAATAACTTATCATTTACATTCTTATATGAATTTTTAATATATTATGTAAGAAGGCAAACATAACGTAAGAAACAAAACAAAGAAAGAAAAGCAAAATTTACAACAACAATAGCAGACAAATACTTTCTTACAATATGTCTGACTCAAAAATGAAAACAAATAGCAGACAAACAAAAATGCAGAAAGCATTTCTTTTGAATCAATAAACTAAACGTCTGTTCAACTGTTATTGCATAATTTAATTTTGAAACTTTTCTAGTATTTCATACCGATCTGAAAGAATGACAATAAGAGGGATCAGAGATTTGTAACATGCAGCAAGAAATGCCCTTTGATATAAAGCTATGTTTTGAATAAGGCAGTTACGATATAACAACTAAACTTAAACAAGCACTTACTCATTGAAAAAGTATGTTGTTTCAACGCTTGGGATGCAAATTTGGGTTTAAATAACCATAAATTGAAATAAATTGGGGAATATTACTACATACTGTATTTAAATACAAATTATGCTACTTTTTATGATGGAATTGTTGGTCATTTTTCTATATTTGAAACACAATAAACTTAAAGAAACCTTAACAACATAACAGTTGTATTCTTACATGGATCAGCTTGGACACTTAAAACTGACAAGTTTGTACTATTTTTAGCCCGGTTTGAGTGAAACGTCGCAACGCTTTTAAATTTTGGTATCGCAATTAGAATAATTATTAAAAAACGGAATAAATTTTGCACTAAAGCTGTGTGCTAGACGTACAAAGAATGAACTATTCATCTCGAAAAATTAATTTCAGTCCCATTATCAAAACATTCATTTAGGTGTAGTCTAATTTAAAGAGTACAATGATCTATCAAATGATCCATCATTGATTTAATGTCCGTCTTGTTACAACTTTTTTCAAATCGTATTTATACACTATCATTCATAGTAGTAATATATGGACAAAATAATATTTTAAAGGCAAAATTTTGATTGTTTACATAGCAGTAACACGTGTTTCTACTTGTAAGGTGGCTAAAATATAGCGACATTCTTTAAAGTGTATTATTTATAAACACTTTGTAAAATCATAACAGTATCACATTCTTTTGGTCCAGAACATCAAACGAAAAGTTTTGCAAGAAAATGGTTTTTGTGAAGTGCGCATTTTCTTTCAAAAGCTTTTCTGATTCTTTTGTGCAATGTCATTATGTGTCGTGCGTGTTGTGCAAGAAACACTGTAAACACAATCATTCTGCAAAAGGAGCGAAGGGAATATGGATGTAAATTTTATTCGGATATTTGTTTTCATATTAATCTACAAAAACATCTCGGTGACCACTGGTTTGAAAATTAGGACTGCCAGGTTTCGGATACATCGTAAGAGCCATGACCTTACTAGATGTGCAACGAAAGTCTTAAATCAAGTGAGCATGTTTTTGTATATATATTATCTATATGCATCATAGTAAGAAAGAGCATGTAATTGTTAAAACAAAAATGATATGCTACGATGCATTTTTCCGTTTTTCAAAGAAATCGTCGAATTACATTCTTGGTTTGCCATTCTGAGGATGAAAGGTATAGAATTGCCATATTTTGAAACAATATAAACTTCAATACTTTGTAGGCTAATGATATATTGTTATATGTTAACATATAATATCCATCTTGTTTCAATTTTTTGCACACCTTCATTTATTTGTTAGAAGTTATCATCGAACAACATTGTTTTATACCCTTTGGCTTGAGATATGAGCTGCGCCTCGACAAAACAAACATAATGGGTTTCACTATCAGTTTCTTTACTTGTTATAGAGTTTGTAAGCGAACAGCATGGATCCTGATCAGACTGCGTGGATGCGCAGGCTGATCTGGATCCATGCTGGTCGCAAACGCACAATGTTGGTTTTGTCATGACGCGGCTCATATTGATTGTAATCCGAGGATGGGACTTGAATATAAATGTGATAAATCCGATGTAAATACAAAAATAGCGTAGATTGTTAAAAACACCATTACACCAAATCAAGTGTATCATACGTTATATGTTATATGGTTCTTTGTCATTTTCAGTTGATTGAATCTGCTTTTAATTATTTATATTCTTTTGTAACAAACAAAATGTCAAATACGTTTAATGCTGATTTTATGAGCCAAAATGAATTCAATATTTACTTATATACTGAACAAATGAAGACTTTATATATCATAGTAAAACATAAATTACAGCTTTTTAGTATCAAAGGTCAAATAAACTATCCCGGTATGAAAAAAATATATATTGGTGCTAGAACATTTACACTGTCTTGTTATGAAGCAACAAATACAAATTCCCCTTAAGTAGCTTCTTAAACATGCCTTTGCAAAAGTGATTTTTTATATATATTTATTTTAACTGAACATAACATTTCATGTAAGATATAATTTTATATACACATATGCTGTTAGTTAGATTTATATTTACTTTAAAAGGCAGTTTGGCAGTTCCATAAAAACATCAATTTAAGACGCTGACAGAGCTTAATGAGAGAATGTTTATTCGCCGGACCACTTGGTTTTGCGACTATGAAAATGTTAATTTAATAACTAAATATCATATATACAAATTGGTTTATACATGTTCTTAGCAATCAAGTTATTGTTTCTTTGAAAATAAATTATTTTTGATGGTATTTGTACCATTGTTTTCTGGTATGATAACACTTATGTCATTGGTTTTAGAATCAGGGCGTTCATATTAGCAATGCATAAGACAAGTCATGTAAATATAAAAAAACATGTCCAAATTTTTGTTGATTAAAATACTTGCACTAGTAAAACGCAGTATGGTTTAGTTTATGCATCTGTTATCATCTTCAAAATATGAACATGTTTGTTTTGAGTTGCAAATTGTATGTGTAAGCTGATGATTCATTTCCCTAGAACATATTTATAGATGAACTTGAATTGTGTGACAATAACATTTCTTTTATTTCTAAGTGCATATCATTGTGAAAAAATGTCCATAATTTAAGTGGGACCTGTCATTTTATTGCTGGAGCTTTGTTCCTAAAATGACAACTATAATATTTTTGACCAGCGGCTCTAACACTATGAGAGTTCTTTCGTGTGTCTTTTCATTTCGGATGTTCTTACTGATGTAGTACATTCATTATTTCGTTATTCATTAATTAATTAATTAATTAATTAATTAATTAATAAATAAATAAATAAATTAATGAATGAATTAATTAATTAATTAATTCATTCATTCATTCATTCATTCACTCATTCATTCATTCATTCATTCAATCATTCAGTTTCAAATATTGAATATCGTAATTCGAAAGAGATTCTTAAGGTGCACATTTGATAAAACGGTAAAATATCTTATAATAAATGTTATGAACAAGACTTTCATTTTCTTCAGACCTCACTGTCTTATATATACATTCACATCATTGAAATAGGACTTGACATCTGGCTGGACATAACAAAAATGACACAAAATATTAACTCAATATGTTTCAAGCCACCAATATAGTGAAAATGCCATTTTCTATGAAAGAGAAGGTCAAGCACATAGCGGTTAGGAGCAGGAAGCCTGGAACCAGCTTCCAATGAAAACCTATATGTTCTTTCGCTTCTTTTTTAACTGATGTAAAATGATTATTTAATTACAATGATATAGAATATGACTTGTATAAAGTACTATTTGAACTATTATCATAAATAATGTGATAGTGTAATACATTCATCAATGTCATATACAAATACATTTTCTTTATCAGTTTTAACAATAATAAATGTAAAGACAAAATGTAAGTGCAATACAGAAAAATATATTACAAAATGTAGTGCTGCTTGCAGCGATATCTCCGACAAATAGATAAAACCGACACTTGATAAATATTGCTGCATTACTTTAACAAATATTTATTGCATGCCCAATTACTTTTTAAGATAATTTACGTCCATTTTTTTCATACAAGCATTTTGTCTGTATTCAAACGATATTGTGTTCAGCAGATATAAAGCCTTGTGCACTTTAAGCAAAAACAAAAGAGAATAACCAAAAAGATGATTTATAGTGTATTTACAGCTTACTTTTATCACATCCTATAATCATTTATTATGCAGGACAGTTCTGTTGGTGGCAGAGTATCGGACCAATCAGGTGCCTGCGAAATAGTATATGCCTTAAATCAAAATCAAACAAAGGAACCAGGATACGGATATTTCGAAAAAGTGACTGTTAAAACAGACTTCAAACCAGCGGTAGGTATTATATTTCTTCCTTATAAATTTTACAGTCGAATTCTAATCGAGAACAGACGGCCCTCGGTCGAAAATTAAAATTTGATGATTAATTCATACTGGAAAAGCGGGCTGCGAGAATGATCTGAAAACTTGCACATAATTTGTTTTGATCACAACCCCTATGCACCATGTTGAAGATAAGAGATAAATCCCAGCATGCAAACACCAATAAGGTCATACTGATTTGTAAAAATCACGCGGTCTAACACAAGTTCTACATGCATTTAACAGTGGGATGTCAGTTAAGGCAAGTATGCTAATCCAGCTTTGTATGAAAATATCAATATTAGTAAATAATTCATTTCATTAAGCATTAATCTAAAGCATGTATTGAATTTACGCAAATCATCTTTTTTTAAAGACGCTCCTTGTTTTATTTATATCTTGTCTTATTTATACATATCTTTCACATAGTATAAGAGAAATTTAAAAACTGTTGATCTGATTTAAAATAGTTTCATTGAAGGTTACAATTGAAGGTCTCGGTGTTCCGTTCAACCTTCCTGCTCCTGTAAGGAATGGATTTAGGGTAGAAGCGAAATTCACACGAAAGGAAACTTACGTTGCGCCTTAGTAAGAATAATTACTATATTCAGATTTGTACATTGAACAGATGGAGTGAAATATTAGGCCATATGTGTGTTTACATAACATAATTCCAACATCTTTTACGATAATAAAAATCAATTGCAGGTGTTTCATATGTGTAAATAAAATAAAAGACGTGTTAGAATTGTGTTCGACGTGTCGTTTTACATATGCGAATATGTTTATCACGTCAGTAAGAAATTGGTGTAATGGTATAGCAAAAAAACGAGAGAAAAAAGAATCCCCATAGAACGCTCAAAACGCCAAAATTGAAAATGTTGCAGGCTCGATTTGATTAAGCCTGTTCATGGACGGTAATGGAAAGTGCAAGTTACCGACCAAGCCCTGTTGAGATTTTTATGCCTCTGGTGGGTTTTCTTATTCAACATGATGTAGTATTTCACAGAAAAAGACCTGTTTACCTTGTTCAATCTAAGATTATCTTTAAAGAATCATGTTATTCTGCACTCCAAATCAATGCTTTTATCGCCGATATACTCACAAACGTATAACGTGTTGCAATGAATTATATATCAAAGAATTTGACTTTTGTTTCTATTTAGACAAAACAACATTCATATTTAGTATTTCAAGTATGACAACAACGTTTGAGATATTTAAAAATGGCCTCAATATTTCGGCAGTTGGAAATAAGAAAAACGAAAATATGGCCCTTGTTTATTGTTTGTATTTTAAACAACTCACTAATAATTCATTGCAACGCAGAATTGAATTCATTTGCTATGTAAATTTTGAATACTTTATTCTCATAGCATCTTTATGATTTTTCAGCAATATCCTTATGGAAGGCGGGGACAACAATATTATAATAGAGTAAGATTTGCTTCTTTCTAATGATATTTTTACGTGTTGTATTGTAGTTATTCTTTTTTAATGAACTTGGTGGTCTCAGTAATTGTAATTACGCTATTTCAATGTGAAATTGCCCTTTCTTTTACCCTATACTTAAGCGTCAAAAATTAAATTATATCTTGGTCTTTTCATTCCAAACATACTAATAGGTTCATTGAATACCACTTCCTTGATAATTGTTTCTTTACTATTTGAGTGTGATTCACAACCAACAAAATACAAAATACATTTTATAATCATTTGCCAACAAGAATATGGTTTAAAGATTAAAAGAATTAAATTGCTTTTTAGATAGGATACTTGTCCACAATAGTTCCAAATGCGTGTTTTGTACTGCTTATAAAAACCCTGAAATAAATTGAAATCCGGTATAGACGACTTCGGTCGCAAAAAGATAAAACATCAACCCGTCGCCACCAAATGCAATTGAATATATAACAGTAAAACTGACTCTAGGATCATTTAAAGATACTAATTGAAGCATGAATATTTATCATTCCATTCTTAAATATTCTTGTTTTTGCAAATTATCTTGTAATTATTTGTCAAATACCAAGAAAAATGGCTTATCAGTTCAAAAGAAAGTATGTCTTGCTCCGCGAAAAGCATCTCTCCACACAATTAAACAGCTGGCAACAGTCAAGTCTGTTGTGTTTTTGGACTCATATTATACTTTTACAAATCGTATAACTTCAATATGAAGTTATAATCATAAGTGCAATTTTGAGATTCAAACAAACATAATGTTCGTTACGGGGCTCGTGTATAGCACTTTGCGTCTACTAATGATAAAAAAGGTTGACACAATATTGAGCAAACGTGGAAATGATGAACGTTGCGCTTAAAACCGGTTTTAAATTACCGGTAGTGATTTGCTATCGACCGTTGCAAAATTGCACTCCTTCTGTGTTCCTTAATATATGTGTCTTATGATTTTTTAAATTCTTTAATGTTGTGAATGTTGACATGTTCTACAATGTTCTTTCTTATTATTACCGTAAATATTCTTTTCTATTACCCATCAATTTTCATTTTAGTCGCTAGTCAGGTTCTTAACCCTCAACTTTTCATTAACCTTTCATTTTTGTATCAGCTCTTTTGTTGTGATTTTGGTATTACCTATTATTTTTCAAAAAGGTGTGAATTTCAGATCTATTTTTACTGTACCTTTCTCTGTCCTTGTGTTTTTCCCGTATTTGGTTTGGTGTCTTGTCGGTTCACCTGCAGATTATAATAAAGTACTTGCTGTAAATTCATATTTTTAAATTTTGTCATTTTAAAGGATCAATGTCTCTCGTAAATGTTTTTAACTGAATTACAAAAAAATAAATTATATACCTATCAGAAATTAAAATAATAATTGACTTATTTACTTTTCTATTCAGTAAAATAGTAAGTTCGATAAGTAACATGCTTGGTTTGTTTGATTTATTGAGTTTTACGTCACACCAAAACAGTATAGGTTACTTTTTCAGCGGTAAGTATTTTGTCACATTCATCCTCATTTTCTTTTTTGTGCTTCACTTTTTGTCTTGTACCGAATGTTCCTTTAATTCCATTTTCTTTTGTCTATATATTTCTGATTAAATTTATGAATTGTTTAAGTTGTTGAGATAAACATCCGTTGTGCCCACTCACAATTGTTTTGGATCGGTACCTCCTGAATGCGTTGCCAATGTGTCTAATATGTCTGAGTTATGTCTGGAGGATGCTTTTTGTGAACGTCCTCTTGTCTGCGTGATCGTTGTTCTCATTTCAGCTGAAAATACCCGAGTTTTCTGTGGTCAAAATTCATAAACGAATTGTCAGATAAAACAAACCATAAAAGGTTTTCCATTTAGTTATTTTTTTCGTTCTAAATAAAAAGTGAAAGACAATTCGACTTTGTCTATATCAAGGAACATCATATCTTTTAAAGTGCAGTCTTGATTCAGAAAATATTGTTTATGGTGGTGTTTAATGCGTCAAAAGCATAGGTAATAATGACAGGTTAAAAATCAAACACCTAGTTATGTATGTTTTTTTTTCTCTAAAATACCTTGACAATTGCTAGCATTGGATTTCAGGTAACCGAACTAAAGCCAAATATGACCATTTTGTTAAGTCGAATAACAAAAGCATTGAACAGTTATAAAGATTCCGTTATCCCTACTTAAACTTTTATTTTTACTACTTCAGGATAGACGACAAGAAGAGAGATTCACTAATTACTATTTACAAAAATGCTGAGGTACAATACACCGTCGATTTCGATTTAGAAACCATGTGTCCATTACCTGATTGCATGTTTACAGTTATTTTCAAAGGCAGACAAATAGAGGTATGTCTGTAAAAAGATAACAAGTACTCGCACTTAAATATGTTTCGTTTGTCGCAGTTTATGGATAATTTAGTGTTTAAATAGATGAAATTTATATCTAATGTTTCGTTATTTGAAGAATCAACTAAATAATAATATCTACATGTCTCTTATTTCTTGTAGATTCTCGTCGATGACCAACAAGTGCAAAACGGCACTTTTGATTTTGAGGAGGCGTTTTTGAGACAGATGAAGCGTGTAAAACTTTACTCAACCATAAATGATGTTCAAACCAATGGTTTTGAGATGATTCTGTAGGTGAAATATAGAAATGAGCGTATGACTTGAAATAATAACCTAAACGGCTAAAACAGAAATGTCAATAATCACGAAATCATATTTTTTTTTAATTTTATCTAGAAATGACGTAGAATAATTATTTTTAAAGCGGCATAATGATTAAAGATAGCTACATGTTTAACATATGATAAAATAACAAAACAAACATTTACCACTCACCTCTACAAAAGCAATGCAGAAATTAAAATGAAAATTGTCAAAGTAAATATTATATTTGTTTCCATTTCAAAAGAAAAAAAAAAGAACAATTTAAAGAAGAAACCAATTTTTGCATATATATTTACAAGTAATACTTTCAGTTTTCTTTATCTCACATATTTTTTCTCGAAATAATCTAAATCAATCCAACTAAAATACTTTAATAACGTAGAGCAAACACCTTTATTTCAAATAAAATCTTCTACACTTTCACTTGCTTTGATGGAAATTCTCATAGTTTATCATCATTTACATTTAATCCCTACCCCTATCCCTTAACCTACATATCTTTTTTAAAATGGACTTGTCCAGTTTCTATTTTATTCGGGAAAACAGGGTGAAATGTGAAGTTGGTCAGCCTTGGACTAGCCGGACTGAATCGATTTACAGTCTGGCCAGGCGTCATAATTGATGACAAAAGCTTACCACTTTCGGATGTTCCATCAGAGTATTGGTTAAAGAAAGCACGGTATATATGTCCCTAAATTTATTTATTAAAATTTCACCAACTTTATTAGTTATTTTTAGTTGTAAATACAGATTCTCTGATAACATATATAATATAAAAGAAAAGCAACTAGAACGATTAAAGCACATATTTAAAATGACATTGCCCTAGTTGTGTATCTACCTCACTGTCTATTATGGAGGACAATTGCTGACTGACTGTTAGAAGAAATCGACATGTAACAAAAAATCTATATAGTGAGTAGGAAGAGAGCACACTTTTGCTTTGAAATAATAAAAAAACAACACTAAAAGTTACAGTGTAAGAATGTAGCATGACATAACCATTTTAATGGTTCGATGAACAAATTTACTTGCAGAACACAGAATCTACAATTTACAATGTAAGAATGCAAGATGTAATTTTGGCAGCAATTATCTTCCATAGTTTATGCACTACATTTTGTTTCGTTTCTGTTAACTTGCAGCTGACAAGATACAAATCTAGTACAAATTTCTCATACTACACGTTTCCACATTTGATTTATTATACTGTTATGTTAATGGTCATTATTTGTTGTAATGCTGTTGTTTTGTTAAAGATATACATCTTGTGTAAACATAAATTTTTTAACGCACATGTTTTTTCTAGTGCCGTCGTGACAAAAAAAACTGGTTAACATTTTTCTCATATTGGGTTAACTCTCATATTCAATTTTCAATAAATGTCAACACTGTTAGTATGCCTGCATTTGACATAAATATAATGATTTTTGTTGATTTTTTGCGAAATAATGTTACAAATTTATGATAATTTAAAATATGTAACGAATTTTTGAATTACTTTTGGCAGGCTTATTTATTTATTAATTTATTTTTTTATTATAAAAATGAAACTTTTAAAATACATTTAAATCTAATAGATTTTATTGCAACTACTTTTTACTTTGTTTCAGTGAGATTCATCTCTCAGTTAATGTTCAATGAAAGAAAAATTAAGAAAAATTTAGAATAGATACCGTATCATGTGATTGTTAAGAATTTCTTTACGGTTTGGGTTTCTGTTGCTACCGCTGCAATGTTCCGATATTATATTTGTAAAAATGAATACATATGACAAAAAATGCACTTTTAAAAGTCTAACATAAATTTAATTATTAAATTCGTATATCATGCATTACTATAACAAATGATAAAGGGAAAATTCGTTCTTTTACAGTAGTAATGCTTAAAGTTTTTCCTTATGGTCATCTATTTGATTTTACTTTATTATTTTAATGCTTTTTTCTAGACTAGAGTTACTTCATAATACGATTTTTAAAATTATGAATATTTGAAATGATTTATTAAGACCTTTCGTTGATTTGCTTTTTATCAATATTCAAATAGATACAATCAGCCCATACTACGGCATGTATTAATGTTAAGCCAATACTTAAACATTAAAATTGTTCAATTCATTTTCTGAAAGTTTAAGCCATCACTGTGCATTTGTAAATGAAAACGCAACGACTATTATTTCCGTTGCGATTCTAAAAACGTTCAAGAAAAAAATACAAGTGTTTAGAATAAATTGATAAATATATAAATAATTAAGATATGTAGCTATACTAATTTTATCTAAACCATGACTAGACATGTGTTACAAAAAATGAAAAGTATATCTGCCTTGATACTTTCTTACTTCTGTTTTGTTCAATAATTTTCCCCACTAAAAACTACCATAAACTATGTCTAAACTTGTTTTAATTTGAAGTTAATGATGAATATAAGTGTAATTACTGATTATTAATATTTTGTTGTTGTGAGTTCTTATATCATGTGTGCAGATGAATGTTTATTTAGAAAGATTCTATGTTATTTTAAAAGATTTAATGTAAATGATTTTATACATTGTTTAAAAGTCATGAATAACCACATTTGGTGTATTCTTTCGAGCAATTTGGTTACTATTTTCAATAAGTATATATCTAGAAAACGTTTACTTAGTACAGTATTTTCTTCAGTTATTTATTCTCATCCCGTTTCTAGAATCTTTTAAATACAACTTGAATTTCTAAATATTTGAAAAAGAGTTTATTTACAAACAATTGCATTGATTTGTTTAGTGTATGAAATTATTAGCCTCTATAAATGATATGTATTCTTGATCATAAAAGAGGCTTATCAGTGTATTAAAATTGATTTGACTTTACAATATACAATTGTTAAAAATTAGCTAGAAGTTATCGCCCTTTCTTTTCAATGAATTGTATGACTTACAACAAAAGTATTTTATTTTGGTACTGATCTTGATTAATACTGTTTTATTCGTAACAAAGGTCCATTATGTCTCAGAAATGCCCGTTTTTTCTCTCCAAAAACCCCCAAAAAACTGTTTATATTTTGGTATCATGTTTCGGTTTCCAAAAAGCATACTAATACTTGCTATATAGTAGATCTATCTTTTGCGTCTTAAAATTTGTCGGCAATTGGTATACTGACAGTGAATAAGTATTTTATTTGGAAGTCAAAATCCTGCTTTGTTTACATTTTACGACACATAACTGTATGTTTAGCGCTACTTGTTTAGTTGTAAAACATCCAGCATGCACTTAATCTAATATTTAAACATAATTAAACACATATTTGACGTTTCTGAAGAAATACTGTATGTGTATTTAAATTCGCGGAAGCAAATTTTCGCGGAAAGGTCCATTTTGGGGGTATAAACAAATATTCGCGCTATTTTGAATTCGCGGAGGTGACTGCCGAAAATCATAAATTCGCGTTCACCCATCAGGTTAAAAAATAAAGGAAATTACACTTACACGATTAGGCAATGGTTTTCGCAAGCAGCCTTCTTTCATTTTACAAACTCTTTACTGTAATCATTGCGGGACTACACAGTTATTTTCAACACCTGGTGCCAAACAATACGCTATTGTACAGAACAAAGACGCACAATATGTCTAGCGGACACATTATGGCAAACAAAAGAAAGTCCGTTAACGTGCGTGATTTTTCACAGTTTTAAACAGCACTGAATGAGACCATTATCTTTTCACCGATTTTGTTATAATTTTGAATGAGTAATTGTGTTTCGTTTTTCATGTTTTCATGAGTTAAAATCGTTAATGTTTGTGTTGTTTGTATTGTTTGTTAAGAAAAAACAAAATATAATCTGATCAGATGTCAAGACGCTTATGACTCAGACTATGAAATAAATAGCGTTATGCAATGGTATAGTTCAAGCATCTATATACTTATACAATAATCCGATAATCATATCAGCCAAACAATTATACACTATCAAACTGATTTATTTACAGAGCTGAATGTTACATGTACAGTTTATACAATAGTAAAATCACTCTTTGAAAGCGCCACGGATACCAGACCAGACTTATGGCAGCCGTGAACACACTAATATACATTGTTCTATAGATGCGCGAAAATATGACCATTAAAAAATTATTGGTGTAGAAATATTCGCGCTGAACATGAATTCGCGGATCGAATGTCACCGCGAAGATCGCGAAAATTTGAAGCCCGCGAATATTTCTACACATACAGTAAGAAAATATGGATTTCTTATCGGCATTATATGCCGATAAAAAAATTGCCCTTTTTTACTGAAGAATCTGTATCTATTTCTTTCTAAATGAAATAATTTTCTAGAAATTTTGTTAAGCTTTGATATAAATGATACTAAAATTTTGGTTATGATTTTACTGATTAACATGCAAATGATTTCTTTCACGCATTGATAACGATATGCGTTCATTTTAGAACTCGTTTCTATTTAAACAATGCTAATACATATTGAAACGATTTTAAAAGTTTTATATAATTATTCAAATATTCAAATACCGAATATAAATAAAAAGAAAATCATTTTTTAAAATGAAAAACGTTTAATTATCTACCATTTATGCAAGTATAAAGAAGAAATCGTTTATTGTGATTTTATTACATCAACAATTACAGTAACAATTACAACAACCATTTTATACAGTAAGAATTTTCATATTTGAATTATTGACCTAAACTATCACGAGATATATTATGGACGAATATCAACAAGCATCAATACTTATACAATTCTGCTGATTGTCTAATATATTTTAACACTTTATAACATATATAACATTTGAAATAAATGTATTGTACTGTTAAAATAGTCTTTCCTATTCTCTAATCTTGTTGTATTATACGAGATCTTTGGAACATATAAAATCATAGTACAATTAAAATCTGAACATCAAAATTCATGATACTTTGAGAAATCGACACTATTGCATGCCAATCTGCACATGTTTGGTAGTGTTATATGTATATCATACCATTTATACATTTAGGATGATCAGGTATCTGGATATGATTATGAACTTGTAAACGATATCAATTTCAGAAAATTTAATGTATTATTTAAGCTGAATTCATACTAGATCTATTTTTCAAAACTCACCAAATCACCAAAAATCTCTAACCAACAGCTATATCCAGGCTCGTATAAGCATTTTATTGACTGCTCCCGAATGGTATGCGATGACCATACAAGCAAACACGACCCATATTATACACACGATGATCCATGGTTTCTGCCAGATTTTAACCCGGCCACCATTCAAGTAATTACTCGATTTCCAATCTATACAAGTTCCTTATACGATGTGTACAAGTGTGCGTTTGTACGAATAAGAAACAATATGTTTGTGCTCGCAGTGGCCTATGCTTACTATATTAGAGATAATGTTTTTCATTGTCATATAAAAACATAATTATAACGAAAATTTGTCAACAGTAAGTGATGCAGAAGGCCTCGCTTAAAAATAACCAAATTCAACGAAACAGTTTTTAGTTATATAAAGTATTATAAAGTATATAGTAATAACTGTCCCTGTGGGAAGTTTGTTTACATACTAGACAAATGGGATACTGGAGGATAAAATGATAAGATGGAGAG